GTTAACATAAAATTAGAACTTTTATTTGGATTTGCCTCTCAACTCTTCGCTACCCGCCTATTGTATTTGGGCGATATATGTAAAACAATCTCGCCATGTAAATTTTAGATTTTGCTAAGTCTCACATTTTGCTGATTTTTAAACCACTCAGAAATTGTTATAAGTTGAGAACATTTCCGAAATTTTGTAATGTAACTCTAATTAGTTTCAAAGATATCATTTTTTAAACTTTATTCTGAACTAACAAAAATTTGCCATTTTAAAATAGGATTTTGGTAATTGCTTTTGTTCTGAGTGCAATGCAAAGCTAAAAACGTTTACACTGACACAATTTGAGTCATGAAGTCCAATAAAACAACTTAAATTATTTAAAAATAAACATAACACCTGTAACTTTAACTTTTACTGCAATTTTACAAGGAAGAAGTTAGTTACAAAAATGTCGATGTAGGTTGAATTTTTCTTTTTTTTTTAAGTTGTTTTCCTAAATAGTTTAGTTAAAGTTATTACAAAGAGCTGGAGAAAGTGTTATTTGTTTTTTTTTTTGAAAAAAAAACAAAATACAAACATTGTTAAATACTAATAAAACAGGAATTAGGAAATATTGAAGTAAAAAAAAGATGGTACTTTTAAAAGCCTATTACAAAACAGTTGAAGTTTAAAAACTTTCAAAAACTTTTTCCACATACCCTTAACTTATACAGACCTTTCCCCCGTGTGTTAAATAATACTTTCAACGAATATAAAAACTGTATCCCAAATTTAAAAACAGCCTCTCAATTATCGTTTTTTAACCTATGAGATTTGCTTAGGTCTTGAAAAGTAGAAAACATAAACATATTAATAGAGAATACATACTTCCCTTACTTGTTTGTTAAAACTAACGTAACCTGATTCCCTCCCCTTCCTCTATATTCTCTGATCTCCCACCATTTATTACGCATTAATTAAAATTCACATCCACCTTTAAATTCAAATTCCACATTGCATCAAAAAATAGACGGTTACTAGACAGTAATGAAACTGAAACAGTTTTAAACAAATCTAGCTGTTCCGTTAGTTGTTGCTGGTTTGCTTTTTCTGTTAATGGCGCTTAGAACAGCATTAAATCATTTAAATACAATGAAAGTTCTACCCTACCCTAAACACCATTCGGGTAGAGTAGTTTTTATAAATGTATTGAACTTAAAAATGTTCTGCGCTGTTTCAATTTAAATAAAAATTTAATAACAAAACTATAACTAATCAAAAAAATATGTCAAAATAAATAGAATATTAAATTAATACAAACAGGTTTAAACAAAATTAAATGTGTTATTATTATTATTGTTACCTATGTTATTTTTGTTATTATTATTATTATTATTATTATTATTATTATTATTATTATTATTATTATTATTATTATTGTTACTATTATTGCTATTATTGTTATTATTATTATTATTATTATTATTATTATTATTATTATTATTATTATTATTATTATTATTATTATTATTATTATTATCATATTCAAACACTCATACAACTTTATAGTCATTTGTTTAACTGTATAGTCAAAAGTAAATACGATGGAATTTCAATTATCTTATAAATTGGGCCTAATAACTGGCCATAAAAATAACATGCCAAAATTAAAAAAAACATTAAAAAAAACTGACCAACACAACTGCTGTTAACCAATCTCCATCCAGGCTGGCAAGTGCAATTGTAACTTCCATCGGTGTTTGTACAATTACTATTTGTCCAATTACAGTTGTTTTCGCATTCATCAATATCTGAAGTAATAAATGGTATAACCTTAACTTGAATGTAACAATTATAGAAGCAACTTAAATATAAGTGCAGAATGTTACAACATCAATCAGGCAAACTTTTTTATGTTCATACTTATATCAAATGTTGACCAAAACTTAAAAAAAAAATTATTTGTAATCTAAAGTTAAAGCCCTTTTATGTAAGGGCAATCAGTTTATAACTTTATTTTATTACTGCTTTGAACTAGGTGTGGTACAGATTTTAAAAATTAAAGCCTAAAATACTCATAAACACAAAATATAAACTTCAAACAAGTTCAAAAAAATTATTCAGCATAGGGTAGCAAAAGGTACAAAAACGTATACTTAAGAGATATACTTTAAAATGTTATCATTTTGAATAAATTTTGCAATTAAATTAAAACGTTATAATTTACAAATCTTGACTTTCTTCTAGTGTAGTCGAAATTCAGTGTTCCACCAAAGCAAGATTTTAATTTATTTTTATTTACTCGGTAAATAACTTATGAAATATTATATGCAATATTTTATTTTTATATATTTATTCGATTTTTAAATCAAGATATATTTTGACCATGGATAAATGCCTGAACTTAAAAGAGAATGGTAACGATGCCGATCATAATGCTACAAACTCTCCTCAGGTAGGACAATGTATTAAAAAACTTGCATTTAATCGGAAAAAAAGCGAACATGATGAGTTTTTTCTTCTATATGGCTTTACAGTTCAAAATTTTAAGGGTAATGAACAATTTCTTTAAATGATCTGCAATGAAATGATGTCTGCGGAGATTATAAAACCATCAAAAATAAAAAGACATCTTAAACTAAAGCATCTTTTGTATTCCAATAAACCAAAAAATGAACTGTAAATAAGACTTTAAAAAAGACTGTATAAGTTTTTAAATAAAAAAAAACCAACAACTCTTTTGAAAAACTAATAACCATTAATGAAAAATATTTACTAGCGTCATATAAAGTTTTGTACAGTATTGCTGAAAATAAAAAATGGTTCACCAGTCGAGAAGATCTTGTACAACCCGCTGCTATTAAAATCGTCGAAATATTACATTGAAGTAAATATGGCAATTATATTTGAAAAATAACTTTGTTGAACGACACTGTCGCGAATAGAATTTTTGATATTAACAGATATCAATTAGTGATCCTTATTGCAAGAATTAAAGAAAGCCCAACATTTTCTAATAACTCGGACAAAACAACGGATATTACTAAATTAGATCAACTGTTAGTATATGTCAGATTTGCATATAAAGAAAACGTCATAGAAGATTTGTTATTTTGTCGTACTATGAAAGAGCATAATAGAGGGAACGCCATATTGTAAAGTCAACAAATTTTGAAAAACTGAAAGATTGTTGTGGAATATGACAGATGATGCAAGAGCGATGACGGACAAAAGTATTAGTTTTAAAGCTACTTAATATGAGCAGATAACTTTTACTCACTGCCTTCTTCAGCAATGCCTTGGTAACAAAAAAAAATTAGTATCAGAATTGAACGATATGCTTAAAGACGCTGTGTTAATTAGAAATCTTTATCTAAGATTCATTCACTTAACAGCTGTGTATTTTCAAAACCTATATAAGTTTACAGATTCTAAGTACACAACTTTATTATTACATGCAGAAGTAAGATCGTTGTCAAGTAGTCAAAGTTTAAGAAGAATAATGTTAGTAAAAGAAAAAAAAAAATTATTTTCAACCAAACGAAATGTGAACTTGCTGGTTTGTCTCAAAAGGACTTATGGCTTTGAGACAAACCAGCAAGATCACATTTCAAACAAGCTGTGTTATATGTAATATATCTTGGAGAAAATAAACGATCTCAATTTGTGTCTTTAAGTAGAAAATTCAGATATAATTACTTCTAATGATAAAATTAAAAGTTTTAATAAAAAAGATCAAGTTTTGAAAAAGTAGAGTGAAAAAGAGTTTTTGAAAAATAGAAATGTTTTTTGAATGTTTACTACTTCAAAATCGAGATAAATCAGTGTAAAACTTTTGTCGCAAAAATTATTGTAGATCGCCTAAAAGCGCTAGAAACACAACTCCATACCTATCTTGTATTAAGTATTGATTTCAAAACGATAATTTGGATTCAAAAGCAACTTTTGATTGGCTTGAGTAAGAATGATCACCCGCAACTTAAAGCTCATGAGGAACTTGCTAAGCTCACGAGCGACCGAAACCTAAAACTACCTTTTGTAAAAATGCCCTTTACTAAACTCTGGATCGGAACTAGAACTTAGTTACACACAAACGTGTTAAGCGTTCTTCTGCTATTCAACACCACATACTTATGTGAACTTAATTTCTCAGCTTTAACGCATATTAAATCCAAATATTGTTTACTGCAAAAAAATGTAGAAAAGGTCTTACTTCCAACATCGTTAAACATTCCACCAACATTTAATTTGTTGTGCAACAAAAAACAACACGTTTATTTCGTTAAACTTTTTCCTTTAGTTTTAATATATTTGAGCGAATTAAAAGGATCAAAAACTCTTTTATTCGTGATATTGCAAAATATGCTATAACATAAATAAATTATTTTTTAAAAAAGGAAAGTAAATAACTTGATCAAAAATACTAGAACGAATAAAATTTTACAATTTTCTTTGCAATTTTCATTTTCAGATTTTTGTATGTTTCTAACCGAAGTCTAAAATTAAATATTTTTATATGTATATGTATATTGTCACCAAATAAATAAATTAAAAAAATGTTCATTCACTTTCAAGAAAACATTTATTTTTAAAAAAACATCTTTATAAGAAAATATAAGTTAAGCGTCAAAGCCCAAAAAATAGAAACAGAGTTCTTGTTTAAACTATAAAAGATTCATCCCAAAGGCAAAAACATGACAAAAAAAAAAAAGATCTTAAAATAATTTATTGAAAATATATTAATTTACAGTTAATAAAAATGTAGTTCATAAAGCAAAAAAAGAATTTGCGCTGTATAAATTAATCATAACATATTTCTTCAAGTAAGCCTATTTTTCGTACATCATCGTTTGGTAATTTATTTGTACATTAAACGTTTTGTTTGCATAAAAGTATATAACATATATAATATAAAAAAAAAATCTATTCAAAACTCTTGCGCACAATAATTTTGATTAAGAAAACTACTGCATAGGACTATTCTGAAAATGGCACAAGTTTTTTTATAAGGAAGTACATAAACATTTATTTAAAACAAGAATTAATGTGAATAATAAAACTACTGCAAAAGTTAACATAAAATTAGAACTTTTATTTGGATTTGCCTCTCAACTCTTCGCTACCCGCCTATTGTATTTGGGCGATATATGTAAAACAATCTCGCCATGTAAATTTTAGATTTTGCTAAGTCTCACATTTTGCTGATTTTTAAACCACTCAGAAATTGTTATAAGTTGAGAACATTTCCGAAATTTTGTAATGTAACTCTAATTAGTTTCAAAGATATCATTTTTTAAACTTTATTCTGAACTAACAAAAATTTGCCATTTTAAAATAGGATTTTGGTAATTGCTTTTGTTCTGAGTGCAATGCAAAGCTAAAAACGTTTACACTGACACAATTTGAGTCATGAAGTCCAATAAAACAACTTAAATTATTTAAAAATAAACATAACACCTGTAACTTTAACTTTTACTGCAATTTTACAAGGAAGAAGTTAGTTACAAAAATGTCGATGTAGGTTGAATTTTTCTTTTTTTTTTAAGTTGTTTTCCTAAATAGTTTAGTTAAAGTTATTACAAAGAGCTGGAGAAAGTGTTATTTGTTTTTTTTTTTGAAAAAAAAACAAAATACAAACATTGTTAAATACTAATAAAACAGGAATTAGGAAATATTGAAGTAAAAAAAAGATGGTACTTTTAAAAGCCTATTACAAAACAGTTGAAGTTTAAAAACTTTCAAAAACTTTTTCCACATACCCTTAACTTATACAGACCTTTCCCCCGTGTGTTAAATAATACTTTCAACGAATATAAAAACTGTATCCCAAATTTAAAAACAGCCTCTCAATTATCGTTTTTTAACCTATGAGATTTGCTTAGGTCTTGAAAAGTAGAAAACATAAACATATTAATAGAGAATACATACTTCCCTTACTTGTTTGTTAAAACTAACGTAACCTGATTCCCTCCCCTTCCTCTATATTCTCTGATCTCCCACCATTTATTACGCATTAATTAAAATTCACATCCACCTTTAAATTCAAATTCCACATTGCATCAAAAAATAGACGGTTACTAGACAGTAATGAAACTGAAACAGTTTTAAACAAATCTAGCTGTTCCGTTAGTTGTTGCTGGTTTGCTTTTTCTGTTAATGGCGCTTAGAACAGCATTAAATCATTTAAATACAATGAAAGTTCTACCCTACCCTAAACACCATTCGGGTAGAGTAGTTTTTATAAATGTATTGAACTTAAAAATGTTCTGCGCTGTTTCAATTTAAATAAAAATTTAATAACAAAACTATAACTAATCAAAAAAATATGTCAAAATAAATAGAATATTAAATTAATACAAACAGGTTTAAACAAAATTAAATGTGTTATTATTATTATTGTTACCTATGTTATTTTTGTTATTATTATTATTATTATTATTATTATTATTATTATTATTATTATTATTGTTACTATTATTGCTATTATTGTTATTATTATTATTATTATTATTATTATTATTATTATTATTATTATTATTATTATTATTATTATTATTATTATTATTATCATATTCAAACACTCATACAACTTTATAGTCATTTGTTTAACTGTATAGTCAAAAGTAAATACGATGGAATTTCAATTATCTTATAAATTGGGCCTAATAACTGGCCATAAAAATAACATGCCAAAATTAAAAAAAACATTAAAAAAAACTGACCAACACAACTGCTGTTAACCAATCTCCATCCAGGCTGGCAAGTGCAATTGTAACTTCCATCGGTGTTTGTACAATTACTATTTGTCCAATTACAGTTGTTTTCGCATTCATCAATATCTGAAGTAATAAATGGTATAACCTTAACTTGAATGTAACAATTATAGAAGCAACTTAAATATAAGTGCAGAATGTTACAACATCAATCAGGCAAACTTTTTTATGTTCATACTTATATCAAATGTTGACCAAAACTTAAAAAAAAAATTATTTGTAATCTAAAGTTAAAGCCCTTTTATGTAAGGGCAATCAGTTTATAACTTTATTTTATTACTGCTTTGAACTAGGTGTGGTACAGATTTTAAAAATTAAAGCCTAAAATACTCATAAACACAAAATATAAACTTCAAACAAGTTCAAAAAAATTATTCAGCATAGGGTAGCAAAAGGTACAAAAATGTATACTTAAGAGATATACTTTAAAATGTTATCATTTTGAATGAATTTTGCAATTAAATTAAAACGTTATAATTTACAAATCTTGACTTTCTTCTAGTGTAGTCGAAATTCAGTGTTCCACCAAAGCAAGATTTTAATTTATTTTTATTTACTCGGTAAATAACTTATGAAATATTATATGCATTATTTTATTTTTATATATTTATTCGATTTTTAAATCAAGATATATTCTGACCATGGATAAATGACTGAACTTAAAAGAGAATGGTAATGGTGCCGATCATAATGCTACAAACTCTCCTCAGGTAGGACAATGTATTAAAAAACTTGCATTTAATCGGAAAAAAAGCGAACATGATGAGTTTTTTCTTCTATATGGCTTTACAGTTCAAAATTTTAAGGGTAATGAACAATTTCTTTAAATGATCTGCAATGAAATGATGTCTGCGGAGATTATAAAACCATCAAAAATAAAAAGACATCTTAAACTAAAGCATCTTTTGTATTCCAATAAACCAAAAAATGAACTGTAAATAAGACTTTAAAAAAGACTGTATAAGTTTTTAAATAAAAAAAAACCAACAACTCTTTTGAAAAACTAATAACCATTAATGAAAAATATTTACTAGCGTCATATAAAGTTTTGTACAGTATTGCTGAAAATAAAAAATGGTTCACCAGTCGAGAAGATCTTGTACAACCCGCTGCTATTAAAATCGTCGAAATATTACATTGAAGTAAATATGGCAATTATATTTGAAAAATAACTTTGTTGAACGACACTGTCGCGAATAGAATTTTTGATATTAACAGATATCAATTAGTGATCCTTATTGCAAGAATTAAAGAAAGCCCAACATTTTCTAATAACTCGGACAAAACAACGGATATTACTAAATTAGATCAACTGTTAGTATATGTCAGATTTGCATATAAAGAAAACGTCATAGAAGATTTGTTATTTTGTCGTACTATGAAAGAGCATAATAGAGGGAACGCCATATTGTAAAGTCAACAAATTTTGAAAAACTGAAAGATTGTTGTGGAATAAGACAGATGATGCAAGAGCGATGACGGACAAAAGTATTAGTTTTAAAGCTACTTAATATGAGCAGATAACTTTTACTCACTGCCTTCTTCAGCAATGCCTTGGTAACAAAAAAAAATTAGTATCAGAATTGAACGATATGCTTAAAGACGCTGTGTTAATTAGAAATCTTTATCTAAGATTCATTCACTTAACAGCTGTGTATTTTCAAAACCTATATAAGTTTACAGATTCTAAGTACACAACTTTATTATTACATGCAGAAGTAAGATCGTTGTCAAGTAGTCAAAGTTTAAGAAGAATAATGTTAGTAAAAGAAAAAAAAAAATTATTTTCAACCAAACGAAATGTGAACTTGCTGGTTTGTCTCAAAACGACTTATGGCTTTGAGACAAACCAGCAAGATCACTTTTCAAACAAGCTGTGTTATATGTAATATATCTTGGAGAAAATAAACGATCTCAATTTGTGTCTTTAAGTAGAAAATTCAGATATAATTACTTCTAATGATAAAATTAAAAGTTTTAATAAAAAAGATCAAGTTTTGAAAAAGTAGAGTGAAAAAGAGTTTTTGAAAAATAGAAATGTTTTATGAATGTTTACTACTTTAAAATCGAGATAAATCAGTGTAAAACTTTTGTCGCAAAAATTATTGTAGATCGCCTAAAAGCGCTAGAAACACGAACTCCATACCTATCTTGTATTAAGTATTGATTTCAAAACGATAATTTGGATTCAAAAGCAACTTTTAATTGGCTTGAGTAAGAATGATCACCCGCAACTTAAAGCTCATGAGGAACTTGCTAAGCTCACGAGCGACCGAAACCTAAAACTACCTTTTGTAAAAATGCCCTTTACTAAACTCTGGATCGGAACTAGAACTTAGTTACACACAAACGTGTTAAACGTTCTTCTGCTATTCAACACCACATACTTATGTGAACTTAATTTCTCAGCTTTAACGCATATTAAATCCAAATATTGTTTACTGCAAAAAAATGTAGAAAAGGTCTTACTTCCAACATCGTTAAACATTCCACCAACATTTAATTTGTTGTGCAACAAAAAACAACACGTCTATTTCGTTAAATTTTTTCTTTTAGTTTTAATATATTTGAGCGAATTAAAAGGATCAAAAACTCTTTTATTCGTGATATTGCAAAATATGCTATAACATGAATAAATTATTTTTTAAAAAAGGAAAGTAAATAACTTGATCAAAAATACTAGAACGAATAAAATTTTACAATTTTCTTTGCAATTTTCATTTTCAGATTTTTGTATGTTTCTAACCGAAGTCTAAAATTAAATATTTTTATATGTATATGTATATTGTCACCAAATAAATAAATTAAAAAAATGTTCATTCACTTTCAAGAAAACATTTATTTTTAAAAAAACATCTTTATAAGAAAATATAAGTTAAGCGTCAAAGCCCAAAAAATAGAAACAGAGTTCTTGTTTAAACTATAAAAGATTCATCCCAAAGGCAAAAACATGACAAAAAAAAAAAAGATCTTAAAATAATTTATTGAAAATATATTAATTTACAGTTAATAAAAATGTAGTTCTTAAAGCAAAAAAAGAATTTGCGCTGTATAAATTAATCATAACATATTTCTTCAAGTAAGCCTATTTTTCGTACATCATCGTTTGGTAATTTATTTGTACATTAAACGTTTTGTTTGCATAAAAGTATATAACATATATAATATAAAAAAAAAATCTATTCAAAACTCTTGCGCACAATAATTTTGATTAAGAAAACTACTGCATAGGACTATTCTGAAAATGGCACAAGTTTTTTTATAAGGAAGTACATAAACATTTATTTAAAACAAGAATTAATGTGAATAATAAAACTACTGCAAACGTTAACATAAAATTAGAACTTTTATTTGGATTTGCCTCTCAACTCTTCGCTACCCGCCTATTGTATTTGGGCGATATATGTAAAACAAAATACAAACATTGTTAAATACTAATAAAACAGGAATTAGGAAATATTGAAGTAAAAAAAAGATAGTACTTTTAAAAGTCTATTACAAAACAGTTGAAGTTTAAAAACTTTCAAAAACTTTTTCCACATACCCTTAACTTATACAGACCTTTCCCCCGTGTGTTAAATAATACTTTCAACGAATATAGAAACTGTATCCCAAATTTAAAAACAGCCTTTCAATTATCGTTTTTTAACCTATGAGATTTGCTTAGGTCTTGAAAAGTAGAAAACATAAACATATTAATAGAGAATACATACTTCCCTTACTAGTTTGTTAAAACTAACGTAACCTGATTCCCTCCCCTTCCTCTATATTTTCTGATCTCCCACCATTTATTACGCATTAATTAAAATTCACATCCACCTTTAAATTCAAATTCCACATTGCATCAAGAAATAGACGGTTACTAGACAGTAATGAAACTGAAACAGTTTTAAACAAATCTAGCTGTTCCGTTAGTTGTTGCTGGTTTGCTTTTTCTGTTAATGGTGTTAATTTTTCGTACATCATCGTTTGGTAATTTATTTGTACATTAAACGTTTTGTTTGCATAAAAGTATATAACATATATAATATAAAAAAAAAATCTATTCAAAACTCTTGCGCACAATAATTTTGATTAAGAAAACTACTGCATAGGATTATTCTGAAAATGGCACAAGTTTTTTTATAAGGAAGTACATAAACATTTATTTAAAACAAGAATTAATGTGAATAATAAAACTACTGCAAAAGTTAACATAAAATTAGAACTTTTATTTGGATTTGCCTCTCAACTCTTCGCTACCCGCCTATTGTATTTGGGCGATATATGTAAAACAATCTCGCCATGTAAATTTTAGATTTTGCTAAGTCTCACCTTTTGCTGATTTTTAAACCACTCAGAAATTGTTATAAGTTGAGAACATTTCCAAAATTTTGTAATTTAATTCTAATTAGTTTCAAAGATATCATTTTTTAAACTTTATTCTGAACTAACAAAAATTTGCCATTTTAAAATAGGATTTTGGTAATTGCTTTTGTTCTGAGTGCAATGCAAAGCTAAAAACGTTTACACTGACACAATTTGAGTCATGAAGTCCAATAAAACAACTTAAATTATTTAAAAATAAACATAACACCTGTAACTTTAACTTTTATTGCAATTTTACAAGGAAGAAGTTAGTTACAAAATTGTCGATGTAGGTTGAATTTTTCTTTTTTTTTTAAGTTGTTTTCCTAAATAGTTTAGTTAAAGTTATTACAAAGAGCTGGAGAAAGTGTTATTTGTTTTTTTTTTGAAAAAAAAACAAAATACAAACATTGTTAAATACTAATAAAACAGGAATTAGGAAATATTGAAGTAAAAAAAAGATGGTACTTTTAAAAGCCTATTACAAAACAGTTGAAGTTTAAAAACTTTCAAAAACTTTTTCCACATACCCTTAACTTATACAGACCTTTCCCCCGTGTGTTAAATAATACTTTCAACGAATATAGAAACTGTATCCCAAGTTTAAAAACAGCCTCTCAATTATCGTTTTTTAACCTATGAGATTTGCTTAGGTCTTGAAAAGTAGAAAACATAAACATATTAATAGAGAATACATACTTCCCTTACTAGTTTGTTAAAACTAACGTAACCTGATTCCCTCCCCTTCCTCTATATTCTCTGATCTCCCCCCATTTATTACGCATTAATTAAAATTCACATCCACCTTTAAATTCAAATTCCACATTGCATCAAAAAATAGACGGTTACTAGACAGTAATGAAACTGAAACAGTTTTAAACAAATCTAGCTGTTCCGTTAGTTGTTGCTGGTTTGCTTTTTCTGTTAATGGTGCTTAGAACAACATTAAATCATTTAAATACAATGAAAGTTCTATCCTACCCTAAACACCATTCGGGTGGAGTAATTTTTATAAATGTATTGAACTTAAAATGTTCTGCGCTGTTTTAATTTAAATAAAAATTTAATAACAAAACTATAACTAATCAAAAAAATATGTCAAAATAAATAGAATATTAAATTAATACAAACAGGTTTAAACAAAACTAAATGTGTTATTATTATTATTGTTACCTATGTTATTTTTGTTATTATTTTTATTATTATTATTATTATTATTATTATTATTATTATTATTATTATTATTATTATTATTATATTATTATTATTGTTACTATTATTATTATTATTATTATTATTATTATTATTATTATTATTATTATTATTATTATTATTATTATTGCTATTATTATTATTATTATTATTATTATTATTATTATTATTATCATATTCAAACACTCATACAACTTTATAGTCATTTGTTTAACTGTATAGTCAAAAGTAAATACGATGGAATTTCAATTATCTTATAAATTGGGCTTAATAACTGGCCATAAAAATAACATGCCAAAATTAAAAAAACATTAAAAAAAACTGACCAACACAACTGCTGTTAACCAATCTCCATCCAGGCTGGCAAGTGCAATTGTAACTTCCATCTGTGTTTGTACAATTACTATTTGTCCAATTACAGTTGTTTTCGCATTCATCAATATCTGAAGTAACAAATGGTATAACCTTAACTTGAATGTAACAATTATAGAAGCAACTTAAATATAAGTGCAGAATGTTACAACATCAATCAGGCAAACTTTTGTATGTTCATACTTATATCAAATGTTGACCAAAACTTAAAAAAAAAATTTTTTGTAATCTAAAGTTAAAGCCCTTTTATGTAAGGGCAATCAGTTTATAACTTTATTTTATTACTGCTTTGAACTAGGTGTGGTACAGATTTTAAAAATTAAAGCCTAAAATACCCATAAACACAAAATATAAACTTCAAACAAGTTCAAAAAAATTATTCAGCATAGGGTAGCAAAAGGTACAAAAACGTATACTTAAGAGATATACTTTAAAATGTTATCATTTTGAATAAATTTTGCAATTAAATTAAAACGTTATAATTTACAAATCTTGACTTTCTTCTAGTGTAGTCGAAATTCAGTGTTCCACCAAAGCAAGATTTTAATTTATTTTTTTTTACTCGGTAAATAACTTATGAAATATTATATGCAATATTTTATTTTTATATATTTATTCGATTTTTAAATCAAGATATATTTTGACCATGGATAAATGCCTGAACTTAAAAGAGAATGGTAACGATGCCGATCATAATGCTACAAACTCTCCTCAGGTAGGACAATGTATTAAAAAACTTGCATTTAGTCTGAAAAAAAGAGAACATGATGAGTTTTTTCTTCTATATGGCTTTACAGTTTAAAATTTTAAGGTTAATGAACAATTTCTTTAAATGATCTGTAATGAAATGATGTCTGCGGAGATTATGAAACCATCAAAAATAAAAAGACATCTTAAACTAAAGCATCTTTTGTATTCCAATAAACCAAAAAATGAACTGTAAATAAGACTTTAAAAAAGACTGTATAAGTTTTTAAATTAAAAAAACAAATAACTCTTTTGAAAAACTAATAACCATTAATGAAAAATCTTTACTAGCGTCATATAAAGTTTTGTACAGTATTGCTGAAAATAAAAAATGGTTCACCAGTCGAGAAGATCTTGTACATCATGCTGCTATTAAAATTGTCGAAATATAACATTGAAGTAGTTTTGTTAAATAGTTTTGTTAAAGTTATTACAAAGGGCTGGAGAAAGTTGTATTTGTTTTTTTTTGAAAAAAACTAAAATAAAAAACATTGTTAGTTACTAATAAAACAAATAATTTTTCATAATTTTAAGTAATTTTTGCAATTAAATTAAAAAATAATATTTTACAAGTCTTCATCGTAGTATTGAATTTTCAGGCAACCATAAAATAACTGTTTTATGGTTGTTTTAAGAAAGGAGAAAGGTTTATACTTGTTAAAGGTTTATACTTATAATTATTCTTTTAATCAATCGAATTAATCATTTAAATACATAATACCTGTAAGTTTAACCTATTTTGCAATTTTACTTGGGCGAAGTTTGTAACAAAAATACCGATGTAGGTTGATTTTTTTTTTTTTAAGTTGCTGTTCTAAATGATTGAGTTTTTTTTAAAGTGTTTTTTTTTTTTTTTTTTGTAACAGAAAAAGAAACATGATATATACTAATAAAAAAGAAATTAAGAAAAATTAATATAAAAAAAATTAATAAGGTCTTAAGAGCTTATTTCACAGCAATTTATGTTTAAAACTTTTTTATCAATATTTTTACATACTTTTAACTTATACGGACCCTTCACAAGTGTATTAAACTTTAGTTTTTATGAATAAAGAAACTGTATTCTATATCTAAAAATAAACTTTAAATTACTTTTTTTTTTTTTTAATGATCTTAACAAATATCAAAAAAAAATCTTAACAAATATCAAGATCTTAACAAATATCAAAATAATTTTTGATATTTGTTAAGATCTTGAAGTTTAGAAAATATAAAATTATTCATAGGGAAAATATTTTTCTGTTTGTTAAACTACTTTAACCCGATGCCCTCCTTTTCATTTTTATTAGCAGGTAACAAATTTAAGTAAATTTGACTATGTTTATTTCTAGGTTTAAAAAAAGACCTAATCTTTGTAATAATTCTAACTAAACTATTTAGGACATCTAAAAAAAATCGAGGTACATTGGTATTTTTGTAACTAAACTTTCCACTTTCAAAATTAACATAACTACAGGTGTTATATTATTTTCAAAATATTTTAGATTGTTTTACTGCATTCATTGCCTCAAAATATATAAGTGCGCTCATTTTCAGCTTTTCATTGCACACAGAACAAAAACAATGATTGAAACAGATTTTCAAAATTGCGGATTTTTGTTAGTTAAAGGCCATGTTTATAAAGTCATATTTTTAAAACCATTTGGAATTGGATGATAAAAATTTTGGAAATGTCTAAAAATTATTAAAACTTTTGAGTTGTTTCAAAACTAACAAAAAAAACTTTGGTTTGCATTTTTAAAAAAATTAGATGTTTTCACATAGAATTGCCCATTTAGATACATAAATATGCACACACACACACACACACACACACACACACACACACACACACACACACACATACACAAAAAAAACTTCAGGATGTATAAATGTATATATAAGTTTTTATATACAGAAAGAATTTGTTTTTGATTATCTGGTTATTGGAACTGTAAACATTTTGGAATTTTTTTAATTAAATCAGTTTGTTTAACTCTTCAAAACACTATTCCTAAAAATGATTACAAAATGTGTATAAGGAATGTCTTTTATTTTTGTAACTTTTATGCAACAGACGGTTTATCCTTAAAAGTTGTCCAAAACTGAAATTTTTCATTTTTAGACATTTTTATAATACTCTTTCAAAATGTTATAAAAAAAGTTTTATATTACTTTACAGAACAATTATTTATCAGTTGTAGAGTGTCAACTCTGAATTTAGTTATTACAACTAATATTTATTAAGTTACATTTTATATCGTAACTAACTCTAAATAATAAGTAACTACAAATGTCCAATAAATGTATACAATTTTAGCTGCAAGGAATTATGGTATGCTTTATAAGGACCATATAATCATAACAATCTGCAACAATAAGTAAAATAAAAAACATTTTGCATTGCCAAAGAGCTTTGCTTAAAAACCTTTTTTTTTTATAAATTAAAATATTTTAAAAACAATTTGTTTATATAACATTAATATATCATTTAACATTGATATGTTAACCTATTTAAATTTTTATATAATTTTAACATGTTTTGTATAAATCTTTTTAATCACTTTATCACTGTTTTTATTTCATATTAGTTTAAATATATACCCATTATTTAGATACTAAACAGCTAATAATATGGAAAGAATAAAGCAACAATTATAAATAAGAAAAATCTCATTTTAAAAACTACCTTTAAAATAAAATTAAGTATGGATAATTCGAGCTACTAACTTTTTTGGCATGCCTTATTTTGTAGAGCCAGGTCTCAATTATTAAACCTTACAAAATAAGATATTTGAGTAAAAAAAATTTCTAATTTAACTTTTTTCCTCATTAAAGGCTTTAAACATGTTTATCATTAGGAAATGTAAAATTTCAATCATTTGTTGTTACATTATTAATTTGTTGCATGATATTTTTTTTAGTTATAAAAATCTTCACTCGTTATATGAAAACAGTTTCCATTGAAGTAGATTTTGTAAAAAATTCCTCATGATGAAACTTGATTGCAATTTAAAGAATATTAGAAATAATAAATAAAATATTAGAAATAATAAATAAAATCTAAACCCAAACAACTAGATATATATTTTTGCCTGCGATTACTAAAAAAAGGCTACCCCTTAATCCTGACTCTTGTATGAAATTAAAATTTAAAGTTAAAGCAGAGCGTGTTGGTTTATATGCTTTTAGTTTAATTTAATGAAGGTCTGTCATTTTTGCTCAAGTCATGCAACAATAACTTTTTTCAAGTTATGAAGTTTTTACAAGTGCTTCCACAATGTTACTTTACCATCAGATTAAAGATGTGTGGGTCAAATATTACATGAACTTTTGCTCCTATAGTTGGATTTAAAATTTGTTTACTTAATAATGAAAATTTTCGAAACTTGAGAACTCTAATGTTACTGAAGCTTTGATCACAAACAAGACATCTTACAGCTAAACCTGTTTTGTGTAGATGAAACATAACATTACTTACATAGCTAATTTGGTTGAACACGTGGTAGCATTACTGTAACGATATGCAATAGGTTGTTTTTGATTTGTTAGTAATCCCCGAACCATCAATACAAGAACTTGTTTTACTGGTTTTTCTTTATTTTCCAATAATCTTGTGCTTTTTTCATAATCAAGATGTTGCTTTAAAAGCATTTTATCAAGAACTAGGCTACAATTCTATTCCAATTTTTGTATGGCATCTACTTATGGTAAATACTGCTTCTAGCATTTAATAAAAAATTTCTGCTAAAAAAATTGAAAGTTTTTAGACAACAAAATATGGTTCTCAAAGATAAAATTTTATCTTTAACAGTTCAAAGTTTTCCTTTTTATCACGATTATCCATACATTATTGACTTTGTAAAAATATAAATTGAGTATTTAAAAAAATAAAAGACAACAAATATTATTTTGAGATTAACAAATACTTATTTATAAATAAGTACTTGTTAACACTTATTTTATAAACTCTTTATTTCAATCATAATACCGGAAAGCATTCAAATCAATACAAAACCTCTCTGGATTAATAGAGATTTGAAAGCGCTGTCAAAAGAAAAAAGAAACGTTTGATTCGAATGTCGAAGGCAGAAATTCAGATACAATTGTTTACTTTCAAAATACAAAAAGTTAAACAAGGCTTTAAAAAAAAGTGAATCAAAGAATTAAAAATTTTGAATATGGTCTTGCTTCAAATTCAAAGTTTAACGTCAAGAAAGTTTATTCATATATTAACAATAAAAGTAAAGTCAAAGACAACATAAGAGCAATCCAACTAAAAAATAGTAGATTCGAAACTGATTTAAAAGTAATTGCAAATGCATTGAATGGGTATTTTGCATCAGTATTCAATAAACCACAAACTTTATCTGCTCCAATAATAGATATAGAAACACAAAAAATTTGTAAAAATCCAAATTTTAATGCCTCTGTTGTTAAAAAATAATTAAACAAACTGGACACTAATAAAGCAACTGGAATAGACAGAGTTCATCCAAAAGTTCTATCAGAGTGCAAATCTACTTTAGCCAAACCAATATCGTTTTTGTTTAATAAATCATTTGAAACAAGTAAACTTCCGAAATTATGCTTGTGTGCAAATATCGTCCCCCTGTTTAAAAATGGTGACAAGTTGAACACATGCAACTATAGACCTGTATCTTTAATATCTGTAGTTTGTAAAGTCATGGAAAAAATAATTAAAGATAAAACGATGAAACATTAAGTAGAAAATAAATTAATCAATAAAAACCAACATGGATTTGTAAATAATAAAAGTTGCGTGACCAACTTAATGGAATCTCTAGATTTTATCACAAGTTCAATTGATAATGTTTTGGATGTAATAGTTTTGTTTCTGGACTTAGCCAAAGCGTTTGATTCAGTTGATCATTAAAGATTATTGTTAAAATTGAATGTTCTTGGTTTTAAATCAAAAATATTTGACTGGTGTCAGCGATTTTTAAAGAACAGACTTCAAAGAGTAGTGAAAAGAAATAATAAATCAGAATGGGAAGAGGTTGTGAGTGGAGTACCACAAGGATCAGTGCTAGAATCACTATTATTTGTAGTGTGTATTAATGATATCTCCAACAAAATAAAATCAAGCTGTAAACTATTTGCTGACGACATGAAAATCCTTAGAGCAATAAAAAACGATAATGATGTTATTGAACTTCAACAAGATATAGACTTATTAATGGAATCGTCGAATGAGTGGTTAATGAAATTCAACTACCAAAAATGTAAGGTTATTATAATTGGAAATAGCCAGCACAAAGTTTTAATGAATAATACAGCTTTAGCCTAAAAAAGCATGGAAAATTATTTAGGAGTGTACATTTCAGATGATTTGGAATGGAAACACCATGTAAATAAAGCAGTAAATAAAGCAAATCAAAAGCTAGGTCAGATCAAACATACTTTTAAGTATTTAGACGAAAAAACAATTGAACTCTTGTTTATAAGTTTAGTACGTCCACATTTGGAATACGCAACTCCTATCTGGAATCCTTGTTAATCGTCAGTATGATAAAAATAAACTAGAGTGTGTTCAACAAAAAATTAGAATTCTAGCATTAAAATTTTGAAAGGATACGGTTATGAAGAGAGGTTAAAGAAGTTGGATTTACTATCGTTGGAGAACAGAAGAAGCAGGGGTGATTTGATACAAATGTTCAAATATTTGAAAGGGTATGATATTATAAATTTTTACACAAAACCCGAAATGCTAGATAACTGATATAAAACTAGTGGTAACAATAGTAAACTGAGTAGGCAATATACAGGAAATATAAAACGACATAACTTTTTTAAAATATTTTTTACAAGTAATCTTGAACAAAAAACAACAGACGCAGTCAGTAACAACCGGTTCAAAAAAAATTGGTAGATCATTTTAAACACTAACTTTTATTATACTTGTATGTTAGTGTGTTACAGCTGTTAATGTTACGAACTCTACGTAGTTTAGACTCATCACTTATTAAGTGTACAGCATTATTATATTATATATTATATTATATTATTATATAACTGTTTTTGTAATGCAATTACCTTATTATTACATATTTAGATACATTTTCTCAAAGTATTTTATTTGATTTAATTCAATTTTTTTATTGATTTCTTTTTTTTATATATTTTATCTTGAAAATCATGTTTGCATGTTTCTTTTTTAAATTTAACGGAGGAGGTTGATTTAGAAAGTCAAGAATTGTAGGTACAGCAGTTCCAAGTATTCTTTTACCTAAACCCAAAGCTTAAATCTAATAAATAGTTTTTTGCAATGTAAACTTATTGTCTTATACAACATAGCCCATACGTGGATAAACCACTGTACAAACTACGCTAAAGGTTTTCGAGCCGATTCTTGAATGCATTTGCTGTTTCTCCATTCAATTGCTTATTAGTTTACTGTTCTGTTAGTGAAGCTAATGTTTTTTACATGCAAAAACATAACAAGGTGTTAAAGGGACTTAATACAACTTTAAAGTGAATACGCTTAACTTCCAATCGATGTCAAAATCAAAATAATATTGAATTAAAAACAGGCATAAATAGAAACAATTAAATATGTGATTTTTTTTTTTTTTAAATTTATGCAACTTCAATGCTTTTTGTTTTACTGCATAACCTAAGCTAATACTATGGAAATTTGATTATCTGATAGAGGGGGTATAGTGACTAACTATTAAGTTAATATGTTGAAACAAAATTAAAAGACATTAAAAAAACTGACCAACACAACTGTTGTTACTTAATTTCCAACCAGACTTGCAAGTGCAACTGTAACTTCCATTGGTGTTTTTACAATTTATGTTTGCCCAGTTGCAGTAATCTGTCAAATTTGTGCCTTTATCATTATCTGAAAACAATTTTAAAGTTACATGAAAAACGTAAATTTGAATTTGTTTATATGGAAGCAACATAATTATGCAAAGAGCATGTTACAAAATAAATCTTTTTTTTTTTTTTTTACTTTAAACAAAATCTAAATATGTGTAATATATGTCAAATGACAAGCAAAACCTGAAAAAACATTTTGTGATCTTAAATATTAGTCATTTTATTTAAGAGCAACTACTTTATAAAGTTTTTTAATACTGCTTTAAACTAAGTTTATCTTCAGATTTTAAAATTTAAACCTTGAAATAACCCTAAACACAAAATATAAATATCTAATAAAATTAAAAAACACTATTAGGTGAACAGCAGGGCTAAATATTACACCACTTTGAAAATGTTTTACATAACACCTAGTAGTTTATTCTGTTCTTAAAAGAGCTTACAGTAAAGAAAACTATTCAATACAATTATTTTTCTTTTAAAATTAACTTGTATTTTTTTTTCATATAATTACTGATTACTTTTATCTTTTATTTTAAATAGCTATATAAAAAAAATTCCATTTAAATTAAAAGTAAAGATATATTGTATCATCATAAAAGTTCAAACTTAAAATCTCAACAAAAAACTTTTTCCATCAAAAGATAATGTTACTTTTAAAAGGTGCTGTTGATAAAGCTCAAAATACTGTTAATCAAGTTCTGCAAAAGTTTCTATATCTAATGTTTATTATTAAAAACATGACATTGAATATTAAAAAGTGAATATTAAAAATCTATACATTTTAACTAGAGACGTTATAAATATTGTTATAAATATACAAAATCAAAATTACTGTATACAGTACTTTTGTACTTGCTTACCACAAATACAATTGCAGAACGATAATTTTTATGTACTCAAGACAACTTCTAAGCAATGTTATTAAATTTTAAGGTTAGTAATGTTAGAAATTGATACAATTTAAATTGAATTAAAACAACCTAAGTTCCTTTCTACATATGAGACAAAAAAGTCTTATCTTCTTGCAAATGCTGATTACTATTATCTTCTACTTTAACTAATTATATAAAAAAACTCTGTTTAAAAAAAAAATAAAAAAAAAATAACATCATCATAAAAAAGTCAAACTAACTTTTTAACAAAGTTTTTTGATGGAATCAGAATTATAATACGATACTATAACATATTATAAGATTAGCAGAATGTTTTTTAGAAAAAATGAATACATTTATTACTTGGCATGTGATCTAAAAGTTAAAATGAATTTATATTAGTTTACTATCCAATCTAAGTCAATGTCTATACTATGCACATATATTGAAAGCAACATGTACTTTGTACATGCTGCTGCAGCTATAACTAATAAATTTAAAATAAGTGTTTTATTTTAATTTAGAGGTCTTAAAGATTAATTTTTTATGTAGGAAACATCTAAAAATAATCAAAATTATGCATTAAAAAGTGAATAAATTAAAAATAATGTTTGCTCATATTTTAAATCAATGTTTATATTATAACATTTGCAAATTTTAGTTCGTTATAATAGTTAGATTTTCTTGTAGAAATCTACTTTTTATATTCACCTTATTTGAATTTTTTAAAATCTAATAAGGGAAACAAAAAAGTTTGTTTTGAATATATCTTTTATATTTTAATACAACCTGCATTACCCCAAAACTATTTTTTGATGTGTATATTTAAGCGTTGCCTATTGACTTATATAACAATATGAAGAGAATAACTATTGATTGTTGCACTTCTAAGACACAATTGTTAATTAATTTTTTGCAATGATAAATACAAAAGAATAATAATCCAAAGTACTATGATTAAGACTAATCATATATGAATTGAAAAAAAGAAACAAAAAACTAAAGTGTTTTTTATATACCTGCATATAGAACATTAAATAGATGCAGATCATTACCTAGAAAAGTTGGATAGTTAACAAACTTTTAGAAAAAACATACACCTAATTAAATTAGGTTTAAAAACCATAAACAAACTATTAAAAACATGAATAAAATACCATTGATAATAAACAAATTCCTAATAAAACCATCTTGAGCATCATGCCAAGGATCAGATGCATATACTTTAACGTTATAAAAGCTTTGAGCTTGGTAATTAACTCCAGAATAGATAACGTTTCCTTTTAATTTAATTGTGTACACATAAACTGATTTTCTAAAAATTTGACTGACCTCAAGATTTGACCATTGATGTAAATCGATTTTAGGTGTCGTGATAGGAAAATCATGGCTATCATTAACTGATGCTGATATTTGAAGACAGCTAATACAATTAGGTGAAAACCAGATACCTGGAATACGTTCACCATATTTACCTTCCTCAGAATTATTAGTGAAATGAATAACACTACGCCAACTAGTATTAAACTGACTTGGATAGATATCAAATGAAACCAAAAACTCCATATCTAGTTTTGCTATAACAGCAACAAGTTTTCCCCGTACTAACGAAGTGTTGGATTTACAAAGAACACTTTCTAAAAGATAAAAACTCTATTTGTAATTAATATATATATATATATATATATATATATATATATATATATATATATATATATATATATATATGTATATATATATATATATATATATATATATATATATATATATATATATATATGTAAATATATATAAATATATATATGTATATATATATATATTTATGTATTTATATATTGTATATATATATATATATATATATATATATATATATATATATATATATATATATATATATACATATATTGTATATATATATATATATATATATATATATATATATATATATATATATATATATATATATATATATATATATATATATATATATATATTTGCACATATTATATATTATATATATATATATATATATATATATATATATATATATATATACATATATATATATATATATATACATATATATATATATATATATATATATATATATATATATATATATATATATATATATATATATATATATATATATGTATATATATATATATATATATATATAGATATATATATATATATATATATATATATATATATATATATATATATATATATATATATATATATATATATATATATATATATAGACATATATATATATAGACATATAGACATTCATTCAAGTTTTATTCCACACAAAGTTTATTATTTGTACACGAAAATAAATAAATTAATCAAAAGTGTTAAAAAAAGTTGATTTCTTTCTGGACAAAAGAAGTGCAACACAGTCGATCACAGCCTTGCATCATAGAGACAAAGATTCGATCAGGTGATTAATAAAACTTTGCGGAATCGCTGCCGAGGCCTTTTTGATTTGTTCAAACAGTTGATCCTTATTACGAACACCTTTACAATCAATTCTGCGGTTTACAATTTCCCACAGGTTATTGTTAGGGTTGAGATCCGGAGATTGAGGCAGCCAGACCAATACCGAGGGGTAGTTGTCTTGAAACTACTGCTTGATTACTTTTGCAGTGTGTTTTGGATCGTTGTTTTGCTGAAAAATCCCTTTTCTTGGCATATTCCAATCAGCATGATGTAACAAAATATCTTTTAGGATATTTTGATACATAAAATGGTCCATTATCCAATAATTTCAATGTATTAGACCTAGACCGTTAGCAGTAAAACAACCCTCAGACCATTAAATTGCCTCCATCATGCTTCACGGTCTTGGCAGTAACGTACATCTAGGCATTTTCCGGCTGGTCGACGTACCCGGCAAATGCCATCGCACCCAATGATGTTGAACGTCAATTCATCACTAAACAGGACAGTTTGTAATTTCTGCACATTCCAGTCAATATGAGATGTAGCAAACAGGAGTCTTTTCTTTTTGTTCTCAGTGAAATCAGCGGTTTCTTTGCAGGGCGTTGAGACAACAATCCGGCTTCAACAGCACGTAGTCAGATTGTTCGGTTTGATAGAGGCAGCTCTAATTACATTTGTATCTCGACTGGAGATATCGAGGGATCTTTTTTGAAGGATCTAACAATCATAGAATTCTCTCTAGAAGTGGTCAACTGCGGTCTTCCACCATTGTTATCTGCTGCCAACTTCTCCGTAGAACGATGTTTGAAACATAGTTTTGATACGGTCCATTTTTTCACGCAATATTTATCACAAACACTTTTTTGTGACATTCCATTTACATAATCGCCAATGTTTTTCTTTTTTAGTTCCAATCAAAGACGTTCAAGAGCCATTTTTGCACTTGAAGTCATGAAAATAATGAAAATAAATTTTTGATAAAACTCACTTCGAATAACTGTCTTGATAATACCAACTGATTGACTTCTTTTTATTCTGACTGAATTACATGTCGGTTTACATGTGTCTTATATAGTAAAAAGAACCTTAGTGAACCTGTTCTGAAAAAATCTAGATTTCTTCTTTTTGATGGTTCTAGAAACTTCTAGATGCGTCTGGATGCTTCTGAACTTTTATAGACACATCTGGATGCTTCTGTATACTTCCAAATGCTTCCTCTAAAAACTTCTGGACGCTTCTACATGCTTCTGAAAACTTCTGGAAATTTCTGGATACTACATTTGATTATTAAAAAACATCCGTGACGTTGACACGGACTAGACTAAAATGTGAGCTTCCACTCATCCGTTTTTTCAAAGAAAAAGGATAGGAAAAGAAAAAAGTAATTGCAAGCATGCGTATTTTTTCATTGGACATATTAAAACTTATACTACGCATGGCTAGGTGATTATTTTTCCCGTCCCTTTCCCGTTTCCGTGAACAAACGGATTGCATTAAGAAAAAAAAAACAACCCAAAAAAATTGCACTTGTTTTGTCCGCTGCAAAATAGCACATGTCAGGATATTCTGCCTGTGTGCTGCCACCTGTCAGCTGATTGCTTATGTTATAACATGCTATGACTCTAGACTCATGAACTGTTTGCTGTGGTAGTATAGTTCGTTTCGTTTTAAAGACATGTAAAGTTAGAAACATTTTTTAGCCTTGTTCGATGTGTTGCTCAATACTGTATATATATATATATATATATATATATATATATATATATATATATATATATATATATATATATATATATATATATATATATATATATATATATATATATATATATATATATATATATATATATATAAAATCGAAAAAATAGAAGAAAAAAAAATATGTCTGCTTTACGTAACAATATGGTAAATTAATATTATAATATTATACTATATGTCTGCTTTACGTAAAGTTTTATGCTATATTAACGTAAAAAGTACTTTTAAACAATGTAGTGTTTTCTTATGTTTTATGTTTTATTTTAAGAAAATATTGCTACTATTTCACGAGCATTTCCATATAAATAGATTTTTCCTAAAACCACACGTTTGTCCTTAACTGTTTAAACAACGATTCCTCAAAAAAAATTTTCAGATTTTTTTTTTTAAATCTATAATAATTTTAACAAAATTAAAATCCTAATATTTGATTATCTGAATATCTTTTAATAAGTTTTCGAAAGTTATTTCAACTAGAGTATTCTTTAATTCAATAAAATCCAAATGATAATAATTTATCTTGCGATTTTGTAAAAGTTTATTAATTTTTTATATATCTTATCCTTGTTAAATACTCATTTAAGGTTTCGCGATCTTCTTTCAGATACCTTGTTTATATTTGTTATCTTTACTATCATTGTAAGTTTATTTTACTTTATTATTGGTTAGATTAAGTACTACAAAGACCAGAAAATGTTAATAAAAAACATACATATTTATTGCAACTTGGCGTTTACTTTTAACTAAAAAAGAGCCTTATCTTACTCTTCAACAAAAGCAAAAATACCAATACTATATCTTGACTGTACCATGAATACAATTTCTTTAACAATGAAAGAGATCTTGACATTTGCTTTTATACAACCTTAAACGGGACGTGCACGTCAAAATAATTTTACAGTTTTAGCTTCTTATATATATATACATATATATATATATATATATATATATATATATATATATATATATATATATATATATATATATATATATATATATATATATATATATATATATATATATATATATATATATATATATATATATATATATATATAAATATATACCTATATAAATATATATGTATATATATATATATATATATATATATATATATATATATATATATATATATATATATTTATATATTTGTATATATATATATATATATATATATATATATATATATATATATATATATATATAATATATATATATATATTCATATATATATATATATATATATACATATATACATATATATATATATATATATATATATATATATATATATATATATATATATATATATATATATATATGTATATATGTATATATATATATATATATATATATATATATATATATATATATATATATATATATATATATATATATACAGAGATGTAAAACATCAGATATATACATAGATGTAAAACATCAGTAATTGATGTTAATAATAATATATTAAATATCAATCGCTTTATATTATTGCTTACTGCTCAACTTAGTGCCGTAACTCATTCGTGCGTATTTACACGGATTTTTATTAAAAATATTATTTAACGTGCTCTTTCTCTTTATGTTTTTGACCACGTAATGAGGTGTTCTAAATCTTTATAGTCTGGTAATATCTGCTTAATCAGTAATAAGATGGAAAACTTTGCTTCATCAGCTTATTTAGTAATAAGATCAAAAACTTTTTAATGATTGACTTATGCTTATGCTATGACTTTAAGTTATGATTTTTTTTAAGTTAGTAAAACAGGTATTATATTTTCGTGCATTTCAATAATAACACAATTTGTCAGTTATATAAAGTATATTATTCTTTAATTAAAAAGTATATATTTAATTAATTATTTGCATTTAATAAAACGCTAGAAGACGGTGATGACTCTAGAAGCTGAAACGTTAAACTCTTCATAAAGTTATTGTTTAACTCCAAAACACTTGCATCTCACACGGTTAACTCTAAGTTGCATGTCAAAGAACAAGATTTTTTAACATCTTATTTCAACTTTAAAAGAGATCTGTTTGCTTTTCTTAATATTAACACTGTTAAAATTTAATGTTCAATGTCGTTTCGCTTTTGTTTTTAAAGCAGTTTTAATTAGTTACTTGGCTTTTCTGAACTTGAAAGAGCACGTTCTCAAAATGCACGCAGTCGTAAAAGAATAATTTATTAAGCGAGTTTAAACTTTTTACCTTTGGAATTGAACTATTATTTATTAGTTTAGAAATATTACATAAAGAAATAAATTAAGATAAATAATCATCGTTAAGATCATATTATAATTGAGGTAAGCATAGGAAATAGTTTAACAATTTTATAAAACATTTCTATTAAAAAAAAAGTAGAAAGGATCAATCCTTTTGATTTTTTAAATCGTTTACGTTTACGTTTTGTTTGTTTTAGTTTTTCTT